GTCCTGAACTCGTGGGTTCAGGCAGTCCTCCCGCATCAGCCTCCCAAAGTGCTGGTATTAACAGGCATGAGCTACCATGCATGCCCAATCTATTATTGCTTCTTAATACAAATCTAGCAACTACCTTAATTTATAGACAATAAATGAGCATAAATTAAATCTTAAGATATCTGCAGCAATTGAATGTGATATGAGAATACCTGAGATTTCTATTGGTGACAAAGCTACAGGTACTGTAAATGTACTGTCCATACTGTATCCATGAAGGGTTTCTTATACTTACAATTAAAGGAAATGCTAAAATCCAGTTAGAGCAGAGTTTCTTAACCTTGACACTACTGACATTATGAATGGGATAATTCTGTTATCAGGGACTCTCTTGTACCCACCCAGCTATGACAATCAAAAATGTCTCCAGACATTGCCAAATGTCCAAGGGTTGGGAAAGGAGAAGACAAACTCACCCCAGTTGAGAACCACTGAGTTAGAGATAAGTTAAAATAAAGATGTAATTTTTTCCCCATCTAAAGTTCATAGATTCCCTGAATTCTACAGACCCTACAGAGTCTGTGAACTCAAGGTTCAGTTCTGTTGGCTCTAGACCTACCTTTGAGTTTACAGTAAACAGAAGGAAGTAGGATAGTAAGGTTTAAACCACCATATATGAGGAAACAATGAGACAAATTAAGAGTATGAGATATTCTATTAAGAAATTGGCTTGGATACTTAGTCATTTTAAAAAGGTTGGAAAACTTTAGACTAAAATAAATAAATTACGTGATTATTTACCTGCTTGTTTCCTATCTCTGCCACTATACTGTAAACTTATATTTGTTTCATTCACTTTCCTATACCATACCCAATACAAAGTCTAAGCATTCAGTAAACCACATGACTATTCAATGAATGAATCAGCAAATGAATGAATATCACAGAGAGTGGGTAAAGACACGTAAGCCACTAACACAATACCTCAAAATGTTCACATACATTTCAAATAATCTAAAAATATAAATCCAAAATATATTTTCTTGTTTGTATAACATTACTTGACTTTCTGAAATTTGATTCTAGATCTCCACCTTCCTTATAAAACGATATACTAGTTAAGAGTATTGGCCATACAATGAGTTAGATCTCTGTCATTTATTAGTTGTGTGACAACTGTCTTACCTTCCTAAGTCTCAGTTTCCTCATTTGTAAAATGGGACAGCAGCAGTATCTTCCTCATTGGAATGTCGTAAGATTTAAATAACTTATGTAAGTTCATAGCATAATACTTGGTACACAGTAGACATTCAATAAAGAATTACAACAACCATTATTATAAACATTTTGTTTTTTTGTTTTTTTTTTTGAGACACAGCACTCCAGCCTGGTGTGACCAGAGCGAGACTCTATCATCAAAAA